GAAGAGTAAGCAATCTACAGACGTGTTATAGGATTGTACGAAGCCTCATTATACTATGAACTCCACTTGGTGTAGGGGTTTTATGGAATACACACAATGGGGGTGGGTGGTTATTTTTTTGGTAATATTTTACTCACGTGGGGTCCATCTTGATGTGATTATTCTAATTCCATTCTGTAATGCATTATTCTTTACACATAGAATAATGCTTATACTAGCATACAATTTTCTTCTCGTCCGTAGATTGACCTAATATTTTATTACAGGGAGTAGGTGCCCCAATAGAGAGAAGATCAATGCTCTAATCATAAGAAATGATGCCGAAACAAACGGAAAAGAAATTTCTAAACTTTGATCTCTCAAGTACAACCTTACAGTGACCATTCGATGTATCTTGTATGATGCAACCAGACGGGCGTTTCCTGCATTTTTCCAGAGACGCGTCGATATTATCTTCAATTTTGTCGATGGAGACGTCGACAATCGCCCACTGATCAGCACTTAATTGTTTGCAGCTTCTGACAAAATACACTTCTCTGGTAGCCACCAATGGAGTCAGCATTTGCAATTCTGCAAACATCTAATCAAAACAGAAACTTGAAATGTTATAGATAAAACTTTGTTGAAACTTGATGTACGATGTCTGATTATCAAATCAAAGACGATTGATGCAAAAATGGGACAAACAATCTTACCAACTGAACTGCGCCATCTCTTTTAACACCTTCACCGTTGCTGATAACATACACTGTAGCTGCCTTTGAGATCAAGCAAGGAAACAATTCATTCCATTGATTCTGCAGAGAGAAAAAACGAAAAGAAAGATAATTGATTCACGAGTGGATTCACATTCACCTTGGACTGTTTGAAACCTAATCTTACCTTTCAAATATTCTCCCGACCGCATATCGACCTAATATAATTGGATATTACGGAGTCTAAATATGTAATAGGTCGCACTAATATTCCTACCATAAGTAAAGGTTAAAGATCCTTCGTACGGTAAAGAAAACATAAATCTTACCACATCCATAAAGCTCTGTATTAGCCTTGGGAGTTCTACAAAGATAATTCCAGTTTCTCTTGACGCCTCAATACACGTTTTAGGCTGCCTGTTGCTGGAATTTTGAGTAGAGAATTCTTTCATATATGCATCATAATTAAGTATTTCCCGGCCCGTTTCATAGCTGCGGATCCACAGTGGTTCGCCAGAAGTAGCCATCTTCTTGAGCTCGTCCATCGCCTTTTGTACAGCATCCATTATCCGTGACATCTCAAGCCCAAAACTGCCAGTGTAAAAATCTAACGAGCTACGAATTCCTTGTTCATTTCCAGACGAGCATGAGCTGTTTGCTGATGCTCTCGGATTGCATTTACCAATAGCAGTTCTAAGTTTTTCGACCTGCAAGTATTCATGATATTAGAACATGTACATTTTAAGTATGGTTTGTACATATGAAGATTAATATTGTAAAACCTCTTCTTTGAGTCTGGCATTTTCAATTCTTAGCTGTTGTTCTTCAGTGGCATCCTTGCCAGAGGTAGCAAATCCACAGTTAGGACAGCAAGACTTTTTAAAGTTCTCCCTTAAAACTTTATTTTCCTCTCGAATTTTTTCCATTTCTGTTTTCAACAAAGAATTTTCATGGCGCTCCTGTAT